ACATACTGTTGTCTTCCTCAAGAGGCTGCTCTGCCTTCTTTTGGCAGATAAATGACAGGGCCGGTCACCGCAGGCCTGTCCAGTAGGGGCTTAGCTGGTGAGGCCGGCCTTGCCGGTGAGCACGGGATGGACCTGGCTTCCTCTCCCTGGGCTGTATTTTCTAGGAAGGTCATTGCAGCTCCTGCTGGAGTCTGGCAGGCCGCGGGCTCCTCAGCCCCGAGAGCCCACATGAGACCCCGGTTCCAGCATCCGCCTGCAGCCTCTCGCGCCCACCCCGGGGGCTCAGGCTTCCAGCCTGTCGGGCAGCGGGGATGGGGATCTTGAGGCAGGATCCTTCCCCTGGTGGGTGTTTGCTCCCTCAACGTTGGAAGCGGCAAGGTATCTGCTCTCGCCTGTGGGAAACACTAGTCTGACTCCTGTGGGCCATGCAAATTGTGTGCCGTGGTTCCCCCGGTGCCCAGCTTCTCCTCAGATCCACTCATTGCTGCGGACTCAGTGGCTTCCCTCCGTTCCTTGATCAAGGTCTCTGGGCCACGCCTGACTCAGCCCATGGTCAGCCCTGTCCCGGGAGGAGGAGGGGACAGACAACCTGTTGGCCTTATCCGCTCACTCCAGGACAGCGCCGGTCCCCCGAGGTTCACCCGGCCGGGCCCTCGCTGCTCTCGGCTTCCTTACGCCGGGGCGTTCCCGGGGACGCAGGGAGGCGCTGGCCGGCCGACGAGCCGGGACACCGCGCAGGAGTGACAGTCAAGAGGTTTTAGAACGCCATGAGGAAGGAAATCCTCTTCCCTCGGGTCAGCCGTGTCCACCGATGTTTCTGCTCTGACACACGGACCGTGATCTTAAACGTAACACGCGTTGTCTTAAATGTTCGTCACGAGCACGTCACAGCTCTTCCCCTAAGGGCCCTGAGGGAAAGGGGCGCGGCTGGGTCTAAACTCTGAGGGTCTCAGGGCGGGGCGGGGGGGCGCTGAGGAAGTGCAGGGTTTTTTTTTTTTTTAAAGATTTATTTATATTTATTTTTATACAAGAACTGAGGTACAGGCTAGAGGCACGGGAGGGTGAGAGGATTCACCAGAGACAGAGCGGGGAGCAGAACAGGCAGACGGAGCGAAGTACAGAGCGGGGAGAGGTCTGCCACGCCATGTGGGTATCTCCCTGGCCAGCCAGGAATTGAACCGGCGCTGCAGAGGCTGCAGACAGCTTCACAGCGCTGCGTTCAACCCGCCGTGCCACTGGGGAGGCCAGGAGTGCAGGTTTTGAATGAAGGAACTGGAAGCCACGCTGGGCTGGGCCCTCTGCTTGTGGGCCGCGCGGGGCTGGTCACCCGCTGCTCTCGGCCTCAGGGTCCTGGGATGTGAAGTGAGGTCCGTGTGACCCTGTCCAGCACCCTGGTGCTGCACAAACCCAGGAGCCTGGACTCGGCTCTCCACCTGTGGGAAATTGGCCCCGGCACTGCGGGAGCCCCAGCAGAGAAGTGGGGTTTTCTAGCTGCCAAGAAAATGAGTTCTTGTCCTTTGAGGCGATTTCTGCAGTGCTGGAGTGGGGTGAAAGCGCGAGCACTGCGGGCCGGGAGAGGCAGAGAGCCCGGGAGGGCGAGGCCGCCCCGCTCCACTCCTACCTGCTGGGAGGGATGTGATGCGGAAGTTAGGAGTCCTGGAGCTGGCCAAAGGGCTCCCCAAGTCCCTAATTCTGTTCTGGGCACGAGGGGCCACTCTATGATGTGATGGGAAGCAGATCAGGGGCCGAGAAGGGCGGAGGGACCGGGGCTGACATTGCTGAGGGCCGGTGTCAACACATCACCCTCTCTCGGCCTAGTTCAGGGCTGTCAGCGGGCGGCATCTGCTGCAGGAGAGAGGCCCTCGGCACAAGCACAGCTCGGGGGAGGGCAGCGGCGCTTTTTGGGCCAGGAGACCGATTAAGAAACAGGAAGTTCTCCCTGTGGATTTCAGCCTGTTTTCTTTTTCCACTTTTATGTTTGAGCCCTGGCCTGATTCTTTCTCGCTGCCCGCCAGCGAGGGCGTTTGAGCACAGAATGGCAGCAACTGCACTCGAGTCATTAATTCTACCTGCGACAGATGGATATGAGGGTCCTGGGCGTGTGCCCTCCAAAGCAAGGGAGTAGACTCTGAGTCTGTGTGGAGGGGAGAGCTGAGGTCTTCTAAGAATGGGATCGAGTCTCAACACCAGCCTCACTGCGCTGTCTCCTGTGCACTCCCAGGACTCTGGTGGTGCAGCACCGCTGCCTGCTCACGCAGGGGCTCGCTGGCCTGGAGCCAGGCAGGCCTGTGATGATCAGACACGCAGCCCGCTCATGTCCACACGGGAGGAACCACATCATTCTCTACCCTGAGAAGGGTTAGAAGCGACAGGGACAGCGTCAGCCACCCTCACTGCGTCTTCAGAAAATTGTCTCCACGCGAGTGAGTTTTGAGAGCTAAGTACTTTCAAGTGTGCTGCCATTTTGCCCCCAAACCCCCACATGGAGGGAGTAGGTCATTGCCATCCAGGATGACCCTACCCTGAGTGTCAGCCCACGCCTGAACCCCCCTCCCGGGGTTAGTGCCCCGGACGCACTGGAGACGTCTGCATCGCGTGGCTCCTCCCTGCCTGCGTCTGTCTTCACACAACCGTCTCCCCTCTGTGCTTCTGCGTCCAAACTTCCCCATCTTGTGAAGACACCAGTCATCAGATGAGAGCCTAGTTCGGTCCAGCAGGATCTCTCTTAACTTGATGACATCTGCAAAGACTCTGCTTCCCAATAAGGTCACCTGCCCAGGTCCTCGGGATTAGACGTGAGCATCTGATTTCCCTGCTTCGTGGCTGCTAAGGCCGGTCATTAGGTGAGAGCCGACCTGGGGAGGCAGGGGATGACTATTTACAACACTCTTCCTTGAAATAAAGTACAAATCAAACTTCACAGAAACTCGGGCAATATTTGTGCTTAATGATGGAAAAGAATCATTACGTACCTTGTTTCAAACCAGAAAAGGGCTTTAACTTCTGAACTGTCACTGATTTTTACTGTTCACACTCCCTGGTTTGCAGACATAGCTAGTAATCCATAGTACTCAGGACAATGTTGTATTGGCAGAAAGGCAGACAAACAGATCGATAAAACAGAAGAGTCCAGAAATAGGCCCATATTAATACAGACAACTGATTTTCAACAAAGGAGCAAAATCAATTCTGTGGAGAACGGACAGTGTTCTCAACAAACAATGCAGGAACAACTGGATATTCATATGCAAAATAGATGACCAAATAAAACTTCGAGTTGCACTTTATTTCACATACAAAAATCAACTCAAAATGGACCATAAGCCAAAAGGTAAGACCTTAAACTAAAACGCTTTTAATCTTAGGCAAAGACAGCTTACATGCGACATCAGCGGTACAGTCATTAGTGGAAAACGTGATAAACTGGACACCAACAAAAGAACTTCTGTCTTTGCAAGACATCGGTTATAAGGCAAACGACCGTCTTTGCAAAACAGGTATCTTGAAGGACTTGTGCATGGAAGAGGCATGGGAACACTTTGGGGCGATGGCTCTATTCACTATCTTGACCGCGGCGATGATTTAATGGTTACAGGCGCATACCAGAAACTTACCAAGCTGCATCTCTGTAATATGTATAGTGTTTTGGATGTCCATTGTAGCTCAATATAGCCTTTTAAAAAATGAAATCCAGAAGTGAGATAATTGCAGTTTTAAGAAGAGAATCAACAACAACAAAAAATCAGGAAGTCGCCCTGGAAGTTGGCTGGAAAAGAAAAAAAAGGAGCAGCCCCAGGCAGCCGGGGTGTCCAGTGCAGTTGAACTGGGTGTTCACGGTGACAGACACCAGGACCCCATCGTACTGCTCAGTTAGAAAAGCCTAGCCATGGCACACACGTCGCCATCCCCACGGCTTAGCCTTTACCAGCCGCCGCTCGGCCTCCCACGACGCTGCTCTCCCGCCCCCGGGCCTGTGCCTGCTGGGCGCTTGGCTGCTGGAGCCCCCCCCTTGCCACATCGCCCGCTCTGTGCACTAATTCTCACGGCCCCTCAGAATCCAACAACGATGCCACGTCCCCTGCAGGGGTTCACCCCCGTTTTTTCACTCTCCTACAGGAGCCGAGGGTTGCCCTGTGGCGCTCCCCAGGCCGGCGCAGACCGTGCGGGGGGCCAGTGAGCACACGTAGGGATGACAAGGGGGGGCGGGGGGAGGGCTGAGCAGCTCTGATGTCCAGAGACTTTTACAGGCGAGACGCCGCCTCCGTTCGGCCCTACTCCTCTGCTTCCCCCGCAAGGGGCCACGGTAGCTGAGCAGCCGGGAGGTGGGCGAGGGCGGGTGCCCAGACAGATATCAGCGCCCAAATAGCTCAAGGGCAGCTCTGCGGCGCCCCCCGCTGCCCCCTGACCCCCAGGACCCAGGGAGGCCTCCACCTGCCAGGCCTGTCGCCCCGGGTCTGCACGCTCACTGCTCCGCCTGCCCTTTGCCTGGAATGCAAAGGCCGAGGGCAGGATCGCGCGTCCGCCTCGCCGGCTGGAGCAGGCTCTCGTCCAGCGGAGTGCGGCTCTGCGTCTGGAAAGCGGCTCTTAAACGACCGCAGTTGTGAGCAGCTGGCGAGTACATGTTTCCCCAAAATCACAGTCGTGTTTCCCAGTCGGGAGGAAAGGCTCCGAGGCGCCCTCGCCGGCTCCGCCCAGCTCCGGCTGGGCCGCAGCGATGCTTCGAAACCCCTACCCGCGCCAGGACGGGACAGACCACAGGGGAGGCCGCCGGTCTCGGTACCGCAGGTTTTTATTAGAGCAAGCACAGCTGTAAGACCCGCGCACACACTGCTTTCCCTCCGCAGGGCGGGGAGGGCGGGGTCCCCACCCGAGAGAAGCCCGGCTCACAGGGGCCCGTGGCGCGAAGGACTCCGGGGACGGCTCCAGGGGACGGCAAGGCCCCGGCGACTACACGGGCGGGCGGGAGGAGAGCTGGGCCCTCCAGCTCCCCCTCCCCGCGACAGCCCCCCGCTCTGCCCCCTGCTTCCCCGCAGGCACCAGGCACAGAGAGGTGAGCAGAGCGTGGCCTTTATCCTCATTCAGACCCCTAGTGATCCCCCCAAATTCACCACCCCAGTCCCACCACTAATTGGAAGATAAATTACATGTTATCAACTTGCCGTTGCGCTGCGTGTAAATCAGACTCGATAACCAGATTTTGGGGAACGCTTCATGCTTTGTGCATTTCAAAAAGCCACGGACCTGAGCCCCCAGAGAGCCACCTGATCTGGGAAAGCGCTTTTTTGAGGTGCCCTCGGAGGCTGACGCGTGGGGAGAGGTTACTTTGGAATCCCCAGGGGGCAGGCCACGCCGGTGCCCCCCAGGCCGCAGTAGCCGTCGGGGTTCTTGCTCAGGTACTGCTGGTGGTAGTCCTCCGCGTAGTAGAAAGGCTGCCCCTCCCGGATGTCGGTGGTGATCTGGCCGTAGCCGTGGCCCAGCAGGACCTGCGGAGACAAGGCCGCGTGAGGACCGCGGGGCAGACAGTCCCAGGGAGCGGGGCGGGCTGGGCTGGGGCCGCAGGCAGACTCAGGGCGGCAGGGACTCGTGGGCTCTGGGCGCTGCGCCTCCCACTGGGTGATCTGGGCCAGGCCGACCCCGTGCGCAGGCCGCTGGGCTTGAAGGTCAGGGGTCCTGACCGCAGCCAGGCTCAGGCCCTGCAGCCCTGCTGGCCACACCCCTCCCCCGGGCCCTGTTGGGAGCCCTGGTTTGTGAGGTGTTAGGGGGCCCACCGAGTGCTCCCCCAGGACACAGCAGGATGGCCGACTCCCTGTCGTGGAAGGGAGGGAGAGGCCGGGTGGGCCAGGGCAGGCTCTGCAGTGGCACCACACTGTTCCCTCTGCCCAACCGGGACGCAGGCCCCTGGCCACTCTCAGCTGGACAGAGGACCTCCCTGGCATGCCGCCAGGCTGCAAGGACCCTGCCATCAGGCCCTGGGGAGCATGGGGCCGGCTCCACCCTTTCAGGCCGCACCTGGATGTGAGGTCAGGGCAGGACAAGGCCCAAGGGCTGGAGAGGGCGCCTTGCCCCTGTGATCGAGCTGCAGGCGGGTGGCACCTGCTGCCTGGAAAGACACCTGGCAGCGCACGGGGAGGGGAGCAGAGCCATGTGGGCAGGAGCCAGGCTGGGAAGGCTCCCCGGAGCCCCCAGGCGCAGCCGTTCTGCTCCCTTTTGGGCTCAGCTCTGCCCCACTTCCCCAGCAGCAGGCGCCTGGTGTGTGAGCACAGGCACTGCACCCCATTTCCTGGGGTCCACTTTGGGCAGGGCCAGACTTGTCTCCCCAAGGGAACCGTGTGGGTCTCTGCCGGCCCCCCCACTCCAGAATCACTATTCTGATGACCCTCCACTGCTGCTCTCCCTGGCGCACCCCCCCGCGCCTGCACCCCATCCAGGCCTCTGAGCCAAAGTTGCCACCGAGGCGCGAAGCCCCAGGTCCGGGCCAGGGGCGGGATCCAGACCCTCGGGAGGATGGGAATCTGGGGCCAACTGCCCTGGCTGGGTGCGGGGTCAGGAAGGGGCTCGGCGCGGATGGAGAACTGGCCGCACACTCCCTCAATGATCACAGGCAGCTTCCCCTGAAGAGGTGCCACCGAGGGAAGGCTCTGGGGCCCCGGGGGCCGACAGGGAATATTCTGGGGACCCTGTCGCACGAAGTCCTGGGGAGGGCAGGCTGCCTCCCAGCCCAGGACCTCACAGAAGGAGAAGATGCAAGGTCTGGACTGGACGTTCCCGCCAAGCTCACAGAGCCTGGGACACCTGGGGCTGGTCTAGGGCCATCTCCGTGTCTGGGAGTTGTGTCTCAGGGCCCAAGGGGAGGCGCACCCCGAGGCTCCGGGAGTGCGGTGGAGTCACGCCTCCTGGCCCGAGGTCCAGCGGTCACCTCAGCGACGCGGGCACCTTCTGGGGCCGTCTGTGGACACCCCACTAGGGCGTGCTCCCCTCCTTCCCTGCTGGGCTCTCTGCGTGCGTCTGTGAGTCTCCCACATTCTGAGAGGACCTCATATGTTGGCCCCCAAAGTTTCCCTGCTCTGGCCAGAGAGCAGAGCGGCCTGCTGCTGAGCTCCTGCGTCCTCGTTTGTGCCCCGTCCCCTCGGGCCAGCCCGGCTCCCTGTGGCCAGGCTTGGGCCGCCCGCAGCCACCGCCCTGACCCTCCTCCACCGAGGACCTTCCGCCCGGTAAGAACTCATGGCTTCCCGAGGCCCCGGCGCTCCCCAGCACCATCTCCAGAAGCTTCTCGAGGACACAGACTCCCCTCTCTACCCACACCAGCTCTGTGACCCCCCGGCCCCGACGCCCAAGGGGCAGCACCCTCTGGAAGAGGCCCGGGCAGGAGCGCAAGGTGGGGTCCGGCGGTACCAGGCCTCGGCCACAAGATGGCAGACGCCTCACTGGAATCCGAGGGGGAAAAAAACAAACAAGCAGCCGGAAACCCGCACAAGACAGAGCCAGGAGCTGCCCTCCGGCGCCGCCACAGTTCACGCCGCAGGGAGGAGAAAGAACATTCCACAAGGTCGTGCGCGAGGGGCTGGAACCTTCCGGAAATAGAGAAAGTTCAGAGGACACAAGGAAGGTCCTGGAAGGAGGGGGGAGGCAGGAAGCCCTCAGGGGTTCTCCTGAGGGACGGGCAAGGTTGGCCGGGACCTGCTGGCCAGTCTGCTGGGGTGGCAGCCACGTGGCAGCTGCCCGGTCTGGGGTCACGGCCCCCCCCTTGGGGCTCAGGGCTGAGGCTGTCCTCACCGTCCCTCTACAACGGTGGGGGGAGGTGGGCAGAGACAGGACTGAGTCAGGGCAGAAGCAGCAGGAACACGTGCACTCCTCTCTTGTCCCTCTTTGTCCATCTCCCCGCAGCCCCGCCACCTCCCAGGGCGAGGGGCTGGGGGTCCTGCCAGACACACATGGGGTGGAGAGGTGCAGGGGGTCGGGGCCCGCCCTCCTGCGTGCTCGGGGGTGTCTGGGCCTCCTCCGGCAGGCGGCTCCGCTGGCGTCCTTCCTTTGTTCTCGATTCTGCCCCCTCCAGCCCCTGGCCCTGTGTGAGCCCACGCGGGGTGCACTGAACGTGACCACCCGAACCTGGGGTCAGAGTCCTGCCCCTGAAGCTGCTGACCCGCCTCCCAAACCAGGGAGAGGAAGCCTCTCCCCATTCCTTAGGACACCCCCAGCCCTTCCCCGGAATTTGGGGCTGCAGGTAAGTGACCCAGGGGCCGGGGCTGCGGTGTCCTGCAGCGTCGCAGGGCAGATGGTCAAGAGGACCTGCCAGGCCCCGTGGGCGGCGGGGGGTAGGGGGGGCGGGCAGGGACACGGGGTGTGCACATGTGGTGAGGCGTGTGTGTATGCACATGTGAGTGGGGGGCTGACCCCCACCATGGGAGCGGTGACGGGTAGTCCCGCCCACCGAGATCACTTTCCTAGACCTGACACAATTTATCACCCTGAGCCCGTGGGACACCGGAGTGTGAGCGAAGACCTCAGCCTCAAGCCGTGGCTGCTCCGGAGCCCACCGGGCAGGGTTCAGAGGAATAGGCTGCAGGGGCTGCGGGGGCTCTGGGGGGCTCCCGGGGCTCTAGGGGGCTCGGGGCTGGGGAGGCGGCGCAGGGAAGCCGGGCTGGTCCGCACTGCGCCCTCTGGAGGCGGCAGGGAGCGCGAGCCGGGCGAGCCCTGCCCGGTCCTGCACCGAGGCCCCTTCTGTTCCCGGAGATCCTTCTCCCTGAATCCATGTGTCCATCCTGCACGTGCCCGGGCACGCCCGTGCACGCCCGTGCACGCACACACACGCCCTGTGCAGCCCAAGCCAGTGGCCAAGTCAGCAGTTTTATTTCCTTGGCAGCTCTGGCTGACCAGATTGCCACCCATCACAGCTTGGGGAAGGAGGCCACGTGAGCGACGCGGCTCCTACACGGAGACACACGCCAAGCGCCCGAACTGAGCCAAGGCCCTGTTTCCGGCTCAGGCAGCACCGGGCACCCACACAAGCTGCAGGAGTGCAGAGAGCAGGTTCGTCCTGCCCACGTTGGTCCCGCCACATCCTCAGCCCAGAGAGGACCCCAGAGCCGCAGGGACTGGGGTCCGGAACGAGGAAGCACCTGTGACCTCCGGAGGCACAAAGCAACGCGGGCACAGGTCCCGGGGCGGAGGCAGCCTCGACCAGGACCAGCGCAAAGGGGCCGGAGCCTCGGGAGGCCCCGTCTGCACCGCCCCGACACTCCCCGGCTCTGTGAGCCATGGCAGCAAGCTGGACAGAGGGCGACACGGTCAATCTGATTCGGTCCCGAGTGCTTATGCACCGGCGGCCCCCATGGGCCGTTCCCCGGGCTGCGAGGGCTGAAGAAGTGAAGGTGGATGGGGAGGCTGGAGATGCCGTGACCGGTCCTGCTGGCTCCACGTCAGGTCACCCCACTCCACACTTTCTGTTCCCACCCCCTTCACCCCCACCCAGCCCCCAGCCTGCAGCCGCCGTGAGGTGTGGGAACACTTTGCAAGATTAAAAGAACCACTTAAGCCTGGCAGAGTTGGCAGAGGCCTCTGAGGCCAGGGCCTGTCCTGAGGGGGTTGCAGCTGAGATGGGGCTGCAGGGGAGATGCTCTCGCTTATTCCTCATTGACCTTGCCCCCCCATGTCTAACACATCCAGGCACCATTTCTCTGTGTAAGAGGAGCTGGCACCTCCCTTCTCCCGCCTCCCTGCCTGGATGGGGCAGCCCCGGGAGGCCGGGGAGAGGCTGAGGTGGCCACTGCGGCTTTAGGCCAGGGCAGGGTGCGAGGCGGCCACCTGCCCCTGCCCTTCGGGGGCCTCCCGCAGCAGGAGGGGCCTAACACCAGTCACACGTCCGCGAGCTGGTTTCTCCTGATCTCATCTCTGCTTTGAAGCAGAATTCAAACCACCATGCCCGGCGCTGCCGTCTTTCCTGGCTGTCGGGTTCCCGCGGCAGGACCTCCGCCCCCCACCCCCATCGCTCTCGTCTCTAAGGGTCACAACTTGCTTTTCCGCGTCTGAAATCAATTAGCTCCAACCTGGCTTTGCCATGTGCCCGGCACCTGTACACAAAGAGCCGCTCTTCACTTTTCAGGGAGCGCCAAGGACGCTGGTTTCACCTTGGGGAGGAAACGCGTTTTCCTTAAAAGGCAAGAGCCCTCGCTCTGAAAGGCTGCAGCAAGGACTCGGAGCACAAGGCCAGCGGCTTCAGTTTAGAGCAGCGGCTGCAGCGAGGGGGCTGCGGGGACCCAGAGGCCCTGAATGCGGCCCAGCGGGGCCCGCAGGCGAGCAGGCAGCCGGCAGGGACGGGGCTCTCAGGCCGCAGCTGAGGGAGTCTCTGGCCAGCTGGGAGCGAGGGTCCCGGAGCGCAGAGCAGGCGAGGAGTTCACGCCTCTGGCGTCAGGCGCTGGGCCGCGGGGTTCTCAGTGGGAAGGGCGGAGGCTAAAGGGGTCGCCCTCCTGGGCGGAGACGCCCCGGG